AAATAATTTATTGATTAATGCAATATATGTGCGCTTAGAAATAAACCCATGTTACACGCATTTATATTCGTCAATGCATTTATATCAATTAGATACATATCTAATTAGGAAAATGACCTGTTTACATTAGGTATTAAAATTTTTTTTCAAGGAATGAAAAGTCTGTAGGTGTTTATTTTTACCGTGCTTAATGAACTCATAATGCAAAGCTTATTTGATAAAAAAGGAGAGATATCTAGGATAATTATCTAATACCAAGAATATTAATACAATACAACAATATGAAAGGACATAGAAATATTTATTTGATAATAAGTAGATACATTAAAATAAAAACACTTTATTTTCTGATTTGTTTATTCATAATCTTCATTTTCAACATCTTCTCTTATTAATATATAGTCAAGAAACTGTGCATGTGGTGATATATCATTTCGATGCCGAGCCCAACTAAGATACCAGACCATAGTCATCACATGAGCACAGCTTCCAACTGTTCTCTTACCAATTATACAGCTGCAATAATGTCCACAAATACAATCTTGCCAATCAGTGGCCCGTACTTTTAACAATATATTTGTGTATTACACTTTATTGCTCTGGTGCCGTGACTTAATTCTTCCACACGCACGAGAGAGCAGAACAGAAAATTCAACTCAACGAAAAATGCTTGACAGTGACACAGTGTGACCAGATTAAATTTTACGAAAATACCGAGGCACCTCAAAAAAATACTGAAATATACCGACTTACATAGGACAGATATACCAATAGAAATACTGATTTTCTTAACACATTTTATTTATTTATACGTACTCACAATAAATGTTAGAGTTATATTTTAACATCCTTTTCGAAGGATTAAAATTTACACAACCTCCTTCATTTCTTCACGCTCTATCTAATAGTGCAAACCGCATTAAAATCGGTCCAGCAGTTGTAAAGTTTAAGGCGAACATACATTCTGCAAGTCAGATTAATACTATGTATTGATTGATAATTGTATATGTAGTATTACAATACTACAACGGCCGTCTTTCTTGTCATATCTGTAACTTATAATAATAATAATAATAATAAAATTTTATTTCAGACTAAAGTGTCCATAGTTTTGTTTTGTTAGTAACATTTTTCCTTAATCTATGTTAGTAATACATTTCAATTTAATTACCTAATCTCTTATATGGAGGCCCACCCAATGTTGGAGTAAAGGCGACTCCCACCTGTCCGACAACACGCACAGGATGCTGTTGGGGCTGGCGCGCACCCGACTCAGTAGCGAGGCACATCGCTTTCGGATAATGGCATGGAATCCATCGATCCTTGCCTCAGCGAATATGCCAGAAGCACTACTGCGACGCGGCAGCCCCATCAGCACCCGGAACGCGTTGTTGTACTGTACACGTAAAGCGTTGTAGGCCCTCTGCGTATAGTCAACCCAGAGACCGCACGAGTAGAATGATTGGCAGTATGATTTAAATAAAGTCAATTTCACTTCTAAAGTACTTCGCGCAAATCTCCGAGCCAACATGTTACATCGGACTGCCAGTGACCTCCTTTCCCTCTCCACGTCCATATTGTCACATAAGTTCTCAGTGAGCCAGTGACCCAGATATTTGAAATGCGATACCCTATTTAATGGCTTTCCATTGAGATGTACAGATGGTATCACAGTAAGGTCTTTTCCTCGCGTTTTAAAAACCATGATCTCACTCTTGGTAGTATTATATCTGAGTCCATGGGCCACCGCATAAGACTCACACTTACTCAGTAATACTCTCAGTCCCCTTATCGAAGGGCTCAGTAGCACCATGTCATCAGCGTAGCTTATATTGTTGACACTGACACCACCTATATGGCAACCGACCTTGGTACCACTGAGCCCGACTATAAGGCGGTTCATATACAGGTTGAAGAGCAATGGAGAGGTGATCCCCCCCTGCCTCACCCCACAGTCTAAGCCATACCCGTCAGAAAGAACCCCTGCCCATTTCACATAATTTATTTGGTTCCTGTACCAATATCTTAGAAGAAATATTATCTCCCTTGGTACAGTGGTCTCACATATCAGCTTCCGCCACAGAACATCATAAGACACCAAATCGAACGCTTTTGAGAGATCAAGAAAGCAAGCGTATATGGGTGTTTTCCTCTCTGTATAGTACTTGACAGTTTCCTTGACACACAGTATTGCACTTTCAGTAGATAGCCCTGGTCTAAAACCAAATTGGGCATCATGCAAGTTCAGGTGGTTATTCAAATGTGCCTCAAGCAAACTGTCCAGCACTTTAGCTATTATAGTAGCCAAGGAGATGGGTCTATAATTGCCCATGTCGGAGGCATCACCTGTTTTATTTTTAATTACTGGCACAACAATAGTTTTCATCATCTCAATTGGAATATATGAGTGTTTGATACATAAAGAAAAAAGCATAGCCAGAAGTCTAGGCAGGTGGGCTCCAGCATAACGCAGATGTTCGACACTGAGGCCATCGTGTCCTGGTGATTTACCTCTAACCATATTTTTAATAACATCTGTAACCTGTTTTGCAGTAAAAATAATTTGTATATCTGTCTCATTTGGTTGTAATTGAACCTCAGTGTCGCACACACAAGTCTGACAGTTTAAAAGCGATACAAGTCCAAAATTATTTTTAAATAAATCTGCTATGTGCTTAGGCTCATTAGCACCAGCAACACTCACAGGCAACCCCTGCCTAGAGTTCAATTTGTTGGTTTCTTTCCAAAACTTACTGAAATTCTTATCAGTATGATAAGATGCAATAATGTCCATACGAATGCGATCTTTATTATCCTGACACCATTTTAATTTTCTTTTAAAAACTTTTCTTGTCTCATTCATTTTTTGATAAATTAACCCATCTCTAGGTTTTCCATATTGTACCCATAATTGAAAACCAAGCCGAGCCTCCCTATGAGCATCACTAACATGCTTGTTCCATCCAATAATATATTTTCGTCTTTTTTGATTAAATTCAGTCTTACAACTATTCTTTGCAGCGTCAGAAAGTACATTAATAATATTTTTATACATGTCATCAATTATTATTCTATGTCTTGTATTATCACAGATTTTACTATTACAATAATTAAATTCTAGGGGAAAATCTATTTGTTTAAGCTTATTGTTACAAAAGGCACTATATAATTCAATTTGACTAGCATCACGTTCACCCCAGATCACATTATTATTATTAAATTCTAATTTAGTGTAGGTTGTCTTTGGTCTTATCATATTAAAATCACAAACAATCATTAATGGTAAATGGTCCGACCAATAAACATCATATAAAATGCTGGCATTTAAGAATGACTGATATGCTGCTTCAGTCATTATACAATGATCTAGCCAACGTTGACAACCATGAGCCTCACTGACAAATGTGTAAGTACTTGGGGGTAAACTTTCTAAATCAACACAGATCCAGCTTTGGTCAGCACAGAAACTCAAGAGTTCTTCACTAAAAAGTTCTCCAGGGTGTGCATTGAAGTCACCCAGTATGATAACAGATTCCGTATTGTTACTTTCAATTACTGCATTAATAACACTTAAACACTCGGTAAAATCTACTAGGTTTTCATTTGAGTCAACTGGCATATAAACAGAGAAAAATAGCACTGACCTGTTCTGCAGAGCTACCTTTATAGCCGACACACGCACACTGTTACAGTCAATGACAGCCACAGACGTGAACAAACTTTTTCTCCACATAATAGCTACACCACCATGAGGTCTTCCTCGAAGTATACCAGCAGATGTGTCTACTGCAGATTTTCCTGTATAGGCGAAATCATCATCAATGCTGCTCAGGAACGCGAGATCGTGTGGTAAAAGCCAAGTCTCTTGAAGGGCTATCAGGTCTGCTGTTTTGCAAAGTTTCCTTATACAATCAACAGATCTTATGACGTTTTTACAGTTAAAACTCATAAATTTAACAGTATTAGCCATGAATAATATTCTTCTTATTGCCTCCGTTCAGAATACCATTGGTTCTGTCTGGATTCCGTCCATTAAAGTTTATGTATTTCCTAAAAGAAACACCTTCCGGCCATAGTGTATCGTTCAAGAAGGTGTCTAACATTTTTTCAGGTATTGCAAATTTGTAAGCATGATAGCCTTTGTCTCGTGCCATTATTATTTTATCCAACACAACACTCTTATTGGTTTTCGTCAAAATATATTTTTCTATGTCTTCGGTTTTTGTGTCCTTGTGTATATTTGAAATAAATAATTGTACCAATTTATCAGCGGCTTTAAAAGTAGTGGCCGGCTCCTGTTGCGCTTTACCTTTACATCCTACAAACCGATTTCGTAATCTGCGTTTTTGTACAGTTATCCATTTTTCATCAGTATTTGGTTTTCTCCAACTTCCTTTTTGTTTTAACGCTTCTGCCATAGTCAGTTTATTATAGATAATTATTATTATTATAGATAACATGTCATTTATTATTATAGATAACATGTTTAAGTATAGGTAAACTAAATCCGGGGAAGTCCCCAATGTTCGCGTTCCGGGGAATTCCGCAAACATTGTCGCAAAGACGATCACTCACTACGGTGTTGCCATAACTTCTACCAAAATATACCCAAAAATACTGACTGCCAGCAATATACCTGAAAATATACTGATGTTCGGAAAAATCGATGAAATATACTGAAAAAGTATTAAAATACTGAATCTGGTCACACTGCAGTGACAACCACTAGCCATAGCCACAGATTAGTACAAAAACATGTTTATAGTGCTGCCATTAGTAAAATTTTTCTTTTATCAAAGTAATACGTTTTATTTATTTAAAAATAATTGGGAATGGCTAAAATAATTTGTGCATTGGTTTTATACTTCATATTTTTATGGCTTTTATTTAAATATAATTTGGTGTTCGTTAGTTTACTCTTATAACAAAAAACCAAGCTCCTTGTAAAAAGAGGACATCTCCTTTAACGTCAATCTCTCCTCTTCGTTCTGTATAGAGAATGACAAGGATATACTACTGTCAAATTTAAGTTTAGAATTAGAGAATCATGCTAGAATCGACAAAGAAGAGTTGAAGCATGTACGACGAGTATTACAGAGTAATGGATACCAGGGACATTTTCTATCTAAACACAAACTAAGACAACAGAGACACAGAGTAGACAGACAACCTGTTTATTTGCCATACGTCAAAGGAGTGACTGACAAGATCTCAAACATGCTGAATAAGTACTCACTAAAACACTGTCTTCACTCCTGTGCGAAAGGTTTCACAATACCTACGGTCTCCTAAAGACAACTTCCGCTTGGAGAAAACTGGTGTCTATAAGATCGATTGCAGCTGTGGTAGTTCGTACATTGGCCAAACAAAGCGAACAGTATCATGCCGAATGAGGGAACGCATAAAAGCAATCAAGAACAACGATACGCAGAACTCGGCCATCGCGGAACATTTGATTGATTCTGGTCCTAACCACTGGATTGAGTTTCATAACCCACAGATTATCTCGACGGAACGCCACTACATACCAAGATTGGTCAGGGAAGCGATTGAAATAACAAAACATAAAAATTTCAATCGTAGGACGGGTTTAAATTGTCGAGTGTCTGGAATCCTGTGGTGTCTGGATGTGTAAAATTGGAAATAATCAAAAAAGTGTCGTGTCGCGCTCCGATACTGTAAGTGTTGTGTGTCGAGAACAGTTTCGAGTGAATAGTGAAAATGTGAACAGTGGTACGGATATCGAACGCAATAAAAGACTACGTCGGAGGGTAGACCGATATGTCTGCCAATAACAGCCTACCCGCAACTTCAGTTACTCCGTGATCATGGCGCTTGCAACAGTGCCGAAATATCGGAAACTCGCTAAAAACAAGGTACATGGTTAGTTAGTTAGTTAGTTTTTCAGGGCGGTTTCCGCACTTAGTCCTAATTATTGGACCATTGTGCGTATCTCATAAACATTCCCGCTTACTCCAGCCAGCCTATATCGGTCCAGAAGGAAAGCAGCCTTGATAGACTGCTGCAAGCTTCCGGAAACGATTCTGGTGACTGGAGAAGTCGTGCCCGTTGGTCGGCCACACTCCTGCATTCCATGATGACATGCTGTGGCGTTTCTTCTGCCTCCATGCATCCTCTGCATAGGGGGCTGTCTGTAACCCCCATTGTATATAGGTGTTTGTTCAGGGGACAATGACCAGTCAGGGATCCTATAATCCTGCGAAGTTTGTCCCTATTTAGTCTGGTAAGGGTGCGGGCAAAACTTTTATTTACCGCCGGAACCGCGTTTTTCGTTTGCCGACATCCTTCACCTGTTTTCCACTCCATCAAGTGTGATTTATGAGTTATTTCACGCAGCCACGTTTTAATTTGGGCCTGAGGTATGGGCAGCAAAGGCTCCGGACCGTACATCTTTGTGTCTGCTCCCCTCTTAGCCAGTTCGTCTGCTGCGTCATTTCCAATTGAGCTGCTGTGTCCTTTTATCCATTGCAGAGTTACCGTGTTGTTAGCCGCAATGGATTGAAGTGCCTTGTGGCACTCCATTACTAGGACAGAGTTTATTGTGTTGCTACGTAAGGTACATGGTAACAATCCCGTTAATAACTTATATTACTATTATGTAACTATTTTCACAATGTATTTTAATTTTATTGAAAATATGAAGGTACCCGCATGATTATCTTTTGATTCTCAAATAGGAATTCGAACATGAGGACCTCAATGGCATTGTAAGTCATGACCCTATGCCATCCAGAAGGAAGGCCTGTGCCCCTGCAGTGAGGCCATTTGATATTATGTCCATGCTCTGGAGTACACCAAAGCTTGATTTGTTTGCACTTCTCCAAAGTTGGCATTGACCATATGTCCATGATGTTTATAATATTGCCTTGTATATAAGGAGCTTGTTGCCTGTTGTGTTGTAGTACCCAATTTGCTGTTCCGGCCTAATATCCAGTATATGTTTTTATGCTTAAGGTACAGCTCCTTTCTTTTCATTTTGAGGTTCTCGTTGTAGATGAGTTGAAGGCCTAAGTGCAGTCTAGATACCGTACGCTATCTTGTTGTGGTAACGTAGTATTCTCTTACATAACTGGGTGGCAGGTTTCTCGTCGAAGAGTAAAGGTGACATGCTCCGATCCTGTTGCACTGGTCTTAACTTTCCATTTTGTATGTCATCTAGTCCCTTTTGGAGATTTACCGAGGCTTCGTGAGAGTTGTTACTGCTAGCCAATATTGCTATATCGCATCATGATTCCATCTACTTGAAGTAGGTCTGATGTGTAAATCGTTTAAAAGACAGGTCCCAGCACTGAACTCTGGGGTACACCTGCTCTTATCTCGAAGAATTAAGACGTTCAATCTGACTCTTTTATTTGGAAGATTCGAACTTCGAGTTAGGAATCATTAAGTGCGAAGTAACTATAAGCAAGACTTGTTTTTAGCTTGCGCGGAAGGCCCGCATGCCAGACTTTGTCAAAGGCCTGTTCAATATCCAAAATGCCGATGAACAATATTCTTTTTCCTCTAGGGGTTTTCTTTTTTTATCCATTATTCTATGGACTTGTGCAATATTATAGGGCTGTTTTCTTAATCCAAATTGATGGTCTGGTATTGCTATTTTCTAATTCGGGCATTATTCTTCGAGGGAGCAAGGTTTCACAAACCTTTGTCATACAGGCAACAGGCTGACCGATCTGTAGGACTTGACAGTTGGTTTCCCTTTGTTGTGTATCTGTCGAATTTGGGACACCTTTCAAACGTTGGAAAAATGCTGGACTCTCAGTATTCCATTGTACAACATTATCAAAAACATAATTGCTTTTCATGGAAGTTTAATGAGAATTTCTTATGTAATGAGGGTTGAGAGGACATATTGTCCTTAGGTTGCCTTATATTTTTTTAAAACTTCCTTAACCGTGACTGGGGTAGGCGGTAGTGACATTTAAAGAGTTTGGTTAAGAATAAGTTCTACTTCTTTCTCTAAATCTGTGTCACTCGTGTCGTTCTGAAAACTTTTTCTAGAAGTTCTGCAAATAAGTCTGCCTTTTCATACGATGTACGCGCCCAACCACCGTTATTTCTGATAGTTAGTTTTGGTATTTGTGGGCTGTCATGTATCTTTGTAAATTTCCATAATGAGTAATTAGTGGCCGAGGTAGGTTTAAGAGACTCCAGTTTCTCCTCAAGTGTATCGTTTGCGACATACATTTTTGTAACATTGCTTTTAGGTGTAAAGCCTGTTTGTTCAAGTTGGTTTTGTCCAATAGTAGTCTGCTCTGTTGTCAGGGCCAGTGCAGTCTGCGTCTCTCCAAAACCGCTTTTTATATTTCGGGAGGGTAGTTGCCGATGTGCTTGTTGACATTCAATGGAGGTGTACTTCTCCATCAGGCTTCCTGAATGAGGGTGGTGAATGAACGGACTTTTCAAATTATATGATAATATATAACATAAGATTACTTAAGCTTTTATCCACTGAGGGCTTCGACTGAGGGTGCGATAATGACCGCGTCCCGCCCGCGTCTAAAGTTTAACCTTAGGAGCGGGGCGGACCCGATGTAATACTTAGAAGATATTGCTTTCTACCAAAAAGAAGACGAAGCCGGAGCAACATAGTAGGCACTAAAGCACATGGGGGAAAAATATTTTACTTTTGATCATTTTCAATATATGAAAGTGGCGTGATAACTTTCGCATACGCAAGCAAAACAATCATTGACGAAGCAAATATTTCAGTCATTTAATAGGCCGATAATACTTAACCAAAATTAACGATGCAAGCCAAAAGGTCTAAATCACAATTACGCTAAGTGAAAACATGCACTACCCATAAAGCTATAATCAACGGGCAACATTAGAAAATTATAGAGGCTTATAAATGACAGTCGATGCAATAAAGGTGTTACACACTTATTAGGTTTAAGGATTTATTGAACGAGCCGATGATATAGATTTCTCGCGAATCGTGAAAGTGGCCATCTGATATGGCCGCCGGTGTCCGGTATCGAACTATCGATATTCGATGGGACGCTCTGATTGACGCCCGAATGACACTATTGAGCGAACGCGGATCTTTCGGATTCTCCGTAGAAAAGCAACTTGCATCTTGTCATAGATTTCGGATACCCATTTTATCTTGAGGAGCGTTATCTGTGGGACAAGGAAATGATAGTCACGCACCGAACATGCAATATTTTCAAATGGCTAGAAAATTGTAGATACAAAAGTATTAAAACAGAACAAGTGCGAGTCTCCCTAGCATATTCAGGATTTCATAAGATACTACCACACCATTGGTTGAACAAAATTTTACACTAGGTCGGAAAAGCCACTTTTCTTTTACGAAAACCACCTTTTATAGCAGCTTAAGATACACATTCTGGAATAATTTCAAGATCGTATCATCATCAGCCTATTAATGTCCGGGACCCCACTGCTGGGGCACAGGCCTTCTCTATGGATGGAGGAGATTGGGTTGAGACCTACCACGCGCACTGCAAATGCAGCCGTGACCATCTGCTTAACGTGCCTTCCGAAGTACGGAGCTCGATATAATAAAAGTTTAGTTACCCATCCAATGACCGACCACTGCGAAAGTTGCTAAACTTCAACGATCGCAGTCAAACACGCTAACCATCCTCCTTCATTATGTGGCGTCAGATTAAAATTTTGTCCCTATGTACTAGATAATGCACCTATGTTTGATACTGTACATTACATAGTACAAAAACAAAAGGTCAAATACACAGAAGTAAAGGTAGCATGTGCGACGGTGACGGTAATAAAAAAGGTGGGCTTATCTCTAAAAGAGTTTTTTTCCAGCCAACCTAGGTAGTATCGGATATTCTAAGCTTAGCAGGAAACAAAAACAAATATAATTTACCACTACCTAAATAAGAAATAAACTTAATGAATAATAAATATAAGATGTAGTTACTTATTATGGTTTAAGAGATATAACCCTCTGATAGACGGAAGTATAGCGGAAGCTCAGGGTTCCGTTGGCATCCTATGATACGGACCCTAAAAAGTATTATAAAAAATAAAATAAAAATAGCCTTTATTCTCTGCTGTACATGTTAAAACTAACTTAAAATTAAAACTTTTAGTTTAATCGCTGACATCGGCACATCTACAATCAGGTTGTCCTTGGACATAGGCCTCCTCCAAATTATCCCATTGGTTCCTATCTGTGGCTGCTCGTCGCCAACTCTTGGGTAGATCGTGTTTCCATCTTTTGTGTTGTCTACCTCTTCTACATTTACCATCTCGGGGTACCACTCCATGATATCTTTTGTCCACTTGTTCCTCTTCGACCTCATGGTATGCCCAGTCCATCTCCACTTCAGTGTTCTAACTTTTCTGGTTACATCTACTACTTTCGTCTTTTTTCTTATGGCTTAGAGACAAACTTTGTCTTATAGTTTGACACCTAACATACTTCTTTCGATTCCTTGTTGGCATACTTTTAACCGTTAATATATGTATATATATATTTGGGACACGGGATAGCAACAGTACTACAATGCAAAAAGAATTACAGCGTAGAACTAATAATACATGGTCACGATACTGGTCCCTGAAACAAATATAGAAAAACAATTATATGCCTAGCCTACACAAAAAGAAAATACACATATTCGACACTTGCATACTTCCAGTACTCACCTATGGATGCCAAACTCATAGAAACCTATGGTTCTACTCAAAACATACAACACAACGGTTAAAAAAAGTATTATACAGACACATATATAAAGTTCCTACTATGTTATTTGCTCTATATCTTAAGAAAGGTAGAGTTTTTAGTGATTTTCTTTCCGAATTGTATTCACCCAAATGGGGAAATAATCTCTTCACCTTATACTCGTATAAATAA